TCGGGGTGAGAGAGAATTTTTTCTTTGCTTGGTTTTGGCTTTGGTCTTGGCTGATAAAGTGCTTTTTCTCTTGGTTTCATTGTGGGTTAGTGCTTTTAAAGCGGCGAACTGTTCTTTTAGTTCTTTAATACTTTCGCTTATTTCATAACGGAGTAAAATTCTTTCTTGTTTTTCCTGCTGAATTAGTTCTCAAATTTGGTTAATAATGACCATTAAAGAACAGAATCGCCTTAGTTTTCGGGCTAGTTCGAAATGAAAAAGCGAAATTAATTAGACTGTAACAGAAATAAAAAACAATTATTTGATTATTAAGTAAAGAATTTTAATGCTCAAATTTCCAGATAATGGATAACATTAAAGAAAATGATGAGACCAAAGGAGGTGGTGCAAGAGAAAGTTATAAAGTAATCATTCAGTTTGTGGCGTTCAGTCAAGGGATTCTCCCGAAATTTGTTAACCAACTCTTCGTAGTAAGTTGGGATATGATTACTCCGGTAACTGCACCTAATGCTACTCCCGAAGACCCAGCAATAATTTGTAACTCACAGGTTTCTGGGACAACTGAGCGAATTAATGATGGATTAATTACGAGAAGAGACCAAATTACTAAAATTGTTTGAGTAAAAGATATCATTTTTATTTTTTTCTTTTATCATTAATTTTATAATTTTTTTATAAAATTATGACCCGAAATCCTCTTTTCTCAAATTACTTATTGAATTTTTAATTAATATTACTTTTGAGTGATGCTTAATAGTAGAATGATAATAGGGAGCGCAAAGAATTAGGTGAGGTAATTTTTCTGCGGCTAATTTCAAAATGTTGGGATTATCATCAATCATAATGTGACAATCAGGATGATTTTCACTAACCCATTGGCTTTTAGTAGGATTATTTTTCCCCTTACTAAACTCAAATCCCACCAAATGCAGAGAACAACTCGGCAGACGACCAAAAGTTTCGGCAAATATTTTCTTTTTGCGAGGATCACCATCCGTAAAAACTTTTTGGTCGTAGGCCGACAAAAAAATGATTTCAGCCTTATTTTCTTTCACTAATTTTAACAAATCCTCGGCCAGAGTAAGAAAGGGAGTGCGCTCGTAAAAGTCAGGGTCGTTTTTTATCTCGTCAATTTTGGGTCTAATAACTTCTTTTCGGAATTTCGTCTCATTCTTATTGTCATTAGCAACTTTTACCGTGACTCCATGAGAATAAATAGAATGGCTACCATAGTCAGAGAAGTAAATGGGAGCATCAGACCAAAAATTTGAAAAAAATTCCGTGAAAGAGACATTACCTGGTTTCCACCATTTTTCTTCGTAACGAACTTGTTGTGATAAGTCGTGGTAAATTTTCGGTTCTAAGGGCTGAATTACTTCATCTCAATCGCAAACAATTTTTAATTTTAAAGAGTCGTTTTGAAAATAGTCATAAAAAGCATTGATTATTCTTCCGTTCATATTAATATTTTAACTAATATTTTAATTTTTTCTCACCACAAATAACGCCTTTTTCTTTACAATTTTAAAAGGTAGGGTTTTGTTTCTCTTCGCTAATTTAACAAAGCAAAAATTCTTTTCTAAATTCCTAAAATTAAACTAATATTGGGAGAATACTAATTTCTTAATTTAGTGAAATGGAGGGAAAAAGAATTATCATCGAATTAGAAATCAAAGAAAAAGACCGAGATCATCATTTAGAATGGACGCTTATTATTACGGTTTCTTTTATTCTTTTACTTTTAATGGTTGCTGGTTATCTTTTAGCCACATGAATCAGAGAAGGATGAGAAGTCAGAGAACAAGACAAAAAAAAGCTTTTTTTCTTTTGAATGGTTTTGGGGTTGGTGATAACACTAATTTTTTTGATTTCAATTATTTTCTCTGTAGGCAAATGATTAAGTTCCCGCGAGGAATGCCGAGAATTGGAAAAAAAATTAAGAACAATCATTTTAGATTTAAGCGAATGAAGAGAGAGAGAGAGAGAGAAGAAAAACTGGTAAATAATTTAACAAAAGCCTACTAAATTGTATAATTATAAGAAAGTGTAATTAAAAAAGCGTCGCCCACGTCGCGCAATTGGTAGACGCCGCGGGCTTAAGATCCGCAAAGTGTGGGTTCGAATCCCTCCGTGGGTACCAAAAACTGACTAGGTTCTGTGGTATAGTGGTTATTATTTCCGCCTGTCTAGCGGAGGATACGGGTTCGATTCCCGTCAGGACCGCCAGTAATCATGATAAAAATAACTGTTAAAGAAAAGAGCAAGAAAGAAAAATATATTTCTGAACTAAAAAAAGCTAGTTTTTTTGTTCTCACTAAGTATCGCAAAAGATTTCATTTTTCAAAAAAGAAATTAAAGTCTAAATAATTTAGTTAAATTTAGGAAGGTTTAGAAAAATTTCCTTGTAATTTCCAAATTATTATCTGGTTAGTTAGTCGTTTTTTAAATTCAACTAAAACTAAAAAAAACTAATTAACTAAAATAAAGTAATAAAAACAGAAGCGAAACACAAAAAAAAAAACCTTGTTATTTTTTCTAAACTGAAAAGATAAATGTCTTTTGATGCTCGGATTAGTCATCTAACAAAAGAATCCCTTTAAAAACAAAACCTAACAAATTGAAAATATCAGTTAACTCGTTTAACACTAATTATTCTCTCTCTCTCTCTCTCTCTCTGTTATTTTTAACAAACTCATCCTTCTTTTTAATTCTCCACAATTGCCACGGATGTTTAATCACTTAATGAGATGATAAATTCAAGCCAGAAAATAAAAGATTGGTGCTATTATTCCTAGGAAAAGCCCTACACTTCCAGCCAGAGCAGCAATCGCTAAGGCACCGGCTTCACCACCTATAACTCCGCCTATTACTCCTCCCAACAAACCAAAGAGAAAGGGGAGAGAAATAAACATCCAAGAGGAAAAAAATAAATTAATAATCAAATCGATTATAAACCAGCGAAAATGATAGTCTCGTTTTCTTTCCTTTTCTAACAATTCCAACAATAATATTTGTGAACTTTCCATATTTTCGCTATTATTTTAATACTTTTATTACAATATCTCTCCTCTTTTAGGGAATATTTGTTATAAACATTGTAATAAATTTTCCGAGCCAAGCCTTTTTTTTGGCTTGGCTGCTGTAATTTACTCTACTTTTACCTCCTGAGTTCGACTTTCGGGAGATTTGGGAATGGTTATCGTTAATACTCCACTTTCAAAATTGGCTTTGATATTAGTGCTATCGGTATTTTCTGGTAAACTAAAATCCCGAGCGAAAGAGCCGTAAAAAACCTCCGAATAGTGTTTTTTGTCGCCTTCAACTACTTTTTTTTCCTTCCGTTCTCCGGAAATTCGTAAAACTCGGTCCGTAATTTCAATTTTGGTGTTTTCCTTTTCTACTTCCGGCAAATGAATTTTGAGATAAAAATGATTTTTGTCTTCATTCAATTCACTGGGTAGGAAAAAATCTTCTTCCCATTCGTCAGCACGAACTGGTCATCACGCCTCATTAAAAAAACGGTCGAGAGTATTTTGTAAATTTTTTAATCCGCGATAGGGATTTCTTTTAAACGCATTGATATTTTTACTCATAATGTTCATAATTTTACAATTATTAACATATTAAATAAAAAGTCTTGCAGAATCAAAACGAAAATTAAAAATAATATTGTCTAGTCATTTTTTAGTTATTTCTTCTTAATCATTTAACAAAAAAATAAATTTCCTTGCAAAGATTAATAATAAAGCAAAAAAACAAATGATTAATATGAGAAACTCTATATAATTAAAGTGAGGGGATGTGTGTTTTGACTTATTGGGGCGATAATTATGGCAATACAGAATAATTGTTAAAACGATTATATCTAAACAAAAAAATCAAAAAAATATATTTGAAACTCCGGCTTATTGTCTAAACAGTAATGCCGGATGTAATTACGTTAGTGCGGTCCCGGCTGCGTAAGGCGTAGTTCTTAACCATCCGCTCTCTTCGGTGGTTTCGTAGATAGTTAGGGGAAGCGGTTAACCAAGTTTGATTGTTTACTAGTTGATTGCTGAGAAAAAAACAATCTACTCGACTCGGTATTGGTCAGTTAATACTCCAACGAGGAAACTAATAATTGACTAAGTTGTAGAAGTAATTATTAACTCAGTAAGGACATGGGTTCAATCCCATCATCTCCACCATTTACGGAGTAAATAGTGAAGTAGTTCCTAGTTCCACCATTTTGTTACCAAGTAGCAAGCAATTTTCATCTCCACTATTTAAGAAGTGGAATAGTGAAGTATTTTCGTGGTTTCGCTATTTTTATCAACAAAATGTTAAAGAGAAAAAGAGAAATGACATCTCTTTCTTTTTCAATTAGTCGCCGTACTGCACTTTTTAGACCACTAAAACTAAAATCTAAACTGTTATTGATCCTCCGACCTATGAATAGTTTAGTAAAGACACCAATTTACAGAAAGAGGTTAGAAAATTATTAGTAATTGGCAGATATTTAACAATCATTCTATTTCAAGGATAAATTGGAATAAAATAAGTAGAAATAACAGTGACTAAAAAATACTATAGAACTTTTGGGAGTAACTGAAAATATTTCGGCCACGAGGAAATTAAATGAGCCGACCGAAAATGACAACCGGACAAGCACGAGCGATTCTCATCAGCAAGAGACCACAGCCAAAATAGCCTCGTTAAATAAGGCTTACGGAATTCTTTCCGAAAGAGAGCATTTTACGATCGCCACGGTGATAACTAGGAAAATAAAGAATTAGAACTGGTTAAGATTTCGTAAAGAATGCAAGGAATTAAACAAAGTATTAGTGAATTTTGTAAAGAGAGAAAAATTATTATATAATACATAACATAATGATAGATCAAGAAAAAATAAATAACAAAGTAGAAAAATTTTTAGGGGAAGGATGGAAATGGTTATCCATAGCCAACACGGTTTTGGTGATATTAGGGGTAGGTTATTCTCTTTATCTCCATAGAGGAAAAGTTAATAGGAAGGAAATAGGAATACGCACACGTTCAATTGATAGTAGACAGCAATCGAATAATCAATCACAATTTTCTCAAATTCCGTTCAGTTCATCAGCACCAATACGAGAAATTCATGACGATAAAACTACTGAAAATTAATTTAAAGAACTGATAGCAATTATTTAAAAATAATTGAGGAAAGTCCGTACTCGCACTTGCTGGAAGGTAAGTAGTGTTAGTGCTAGGCCGAATAAGCCTAGGCAGGAATTTTTGAGTCCTGACGGCCGGCAGATTAATCTAAGTGTTAAATCATTTTAGCATATGGTTATTAAGCCTCTAAAAGTGCCATAGAGACGAGTAAGCGGGAAACTGCGGAAGTGAGACGACGTAAACCCCACTAGCGAGCAATCCAAATACAAAAATAATGGTAGGAGCAGTGAAACGAGAGAATAATAATCTCAATTCACTAATCCCTTCCCGGGGATTAAGATAAATTATCAGTTAAAACAGAATACGGCTTATTCTTTATGTGATTAGTAATAAAATGGTAAGGGGGGGAAAAGGCAAGTTTTTTTCGTAGTGAGGAGGTGTAGTTCAATTGGTAGAATGCCAGTCTCCAAAACTGGGCGTTATAGGTTCGAGTCCTGTCGCCTCTGCCAAAAAAAGTAAAATACGTATATAATATGAATCAGGTGTTTACTGGCACAGTAATTAGTTTGAAAAATGCCAAGACGGCCGCAATAGAGTTAGTTTTTAATTATCTTCATCCTAAATATCATAAACCTATTCGGAGAAAAAAAAAAATTCAGGCTCATTATGAAAAATACGACTTGAAATTAGGAGATAAAGTAGTGATTAAAAGTAGTCGACCTTATTCGGCTATTAAGAGATTTCTAGTAATTGAAAAAGCAAACAAGAAAAACCAAACGATAAAAGCGTCTCTTTCCAACAAAAAGTTTAATTTATAAAACTATTTCTATAAATTTTTTTAAATGTTTGCTAGTTCAGTTTCCAATTCAGTGGCTAATTGTAAAACTAATTGGTCTTGTCCGTAGCTGCTATCAAGGCTAATGTTGACCGGCAAACCGTCAACTATTCCCAAAGGCAAACTTAGCGACGGTAAGCCGGCTAAGTTGCCCAGGAGCAATAAATTATCGCTCCAATGGGAAGATGTTAATCCGGCAAAAGAATGGTTAAAATCTGCCGCCCGTGGAGCCGGACTATTAGTGCTAGGAAAAATTAAAAAATCGTAATCCCGAAAGATTTTTTTTAATCAGTTGTCTATTAGACGACGCATTTTTTGGGCTTTGACTAACAAACCTTTTTCGTCCAAAAAATAAGCCCCCATTAATAAACGTTCTTTGACTATTAGTCCAAGATTGTCGCTTCTTTTTTTGGCAATCTCTTCATTTTCATCAAGCACCCGAGATAGAGGATATTCTGTTAACTAACAATAATTTTTGCGAGCAAAATCTGTCTAGTTTCACTCGTTTTCCCCGATTACACAGACTATTTTTGGGAACCGATAACGCTGCTAGAATAAGACAAGGAATTTATAATCGTTGGTATGGTTCGCTTATCCATTTGTTGACCTTAACCAGATTACAAGAGTTAGATATTAATGCCACCGATATTAGCTCTGGTTTAAAATTTTTACCTACCAGGGATTTGATTTTTTTTACTTTTGGTGATAAAGGCCGAAATAACGCCAGAGTAAACATCTTAAAGACCGAAATAGAAGATTATTTAGCACTAGAAGAAGGGGAAACAATGGAACAATGAGCCAGCAATGAAGAATTTGAGGCTAATATAGGCAAAGTAGAAGATATTCGTAGTTGACAACAGGATCAACAACAAACGCAATTTTTTGCTAGATTAGCAACAAGAGGACGAGAGAATTAAAATAGGAATAGCCGCAAGTAGTGTTTTTATTTATCATTTCCCCACTTAACTTTGAACACAGTGTTAAATTAACATACCAAGCGTTTCTCTCCATAATTCAACCAAGAAAACATACCTCTTTCCCCAGAGATATTTTAGATAAAGTAGTAATTGTCACCAAAAATTAAAACAATGAACGAAAAATTACTAAAAGCCTTAATTTTTGATTTGCTTTATAGTCGGTATTACGGAGTAATTGTTTATGTTCGAATTTTTCGGGGCGAATTAGTCAAAGGACAAAAAATTAAGTTTAGTCGCAGTCAAAAAATATACCAAGTAGAAAGATTGGGAGTGAAAACTCCCCAGGAAGTTTTAAAAGAAAAATTAGGGACGGGCGAAATTGGCTGATTTACCGCAAATATTCGAGATATGCGGGAAGTGAAAGTAGGCGAAACGGTGCTAGATATTAATAATGATTCTCCGCCGTTGGCGGGCTATCAAGAAAGCAAACCTAACGTTTATTCTAATTTGTATCCGGGTGATAGTTCGCAGTATAAGGAATTTGAGAAGGCTTTGGTCGAATTACAAGTCCAAGATAGTAGTTTAAGTTTGGAAAAAATTGACTCGCAATTATTAGGTCCGGGTTTCCGTTGTGGTTTCCTTGGCTTGCTTCATCGAGAAATCATTTGTGAGAGAATGCAAAAAGAATATCAATGCGAAATAATTATTACTCCTCCTAGTATTATTTACCGGATAACTTACCAAAATGGTAAAACTGCTGAAATTATTAATCCGCAAAAAGTTCTTCCGAACCAGAAAATAAAACTTATTGAAGAGTTGTTTATTTCTTGTCTTATCACCACTCCATTAGAATATTTGGGAGCAATATCGCAATTATGCCAAAATAAACGCGGGGTTTGTCAGGACCAAAAATGACAAACCGGCTCGTTATGGCAATTGCATTATCATTTACCGTTAGGAGAATTTATTCTTGATTTTCATGATAAAATCAAATCAATCTCCCACGGCTATGCTTCCTTTAACTACCAAATTACTGGTTTTCGTCCTAGCAAAATCGTAAAAATAGACCTGTTATTAAACAAGCAAATAGTCGCAGATTTGTCTTTTTTCGTTCACGAAAATTTTGCCTACGAGCGTGCCCGCTTACTTTGCGAAAAATTAAAAACCACCCTTAATCCCCAGAACTTTGTAGTGCCTATCCAAGCCTGTATTGGCAACAAAATAATTGCCCGGGAAACTTTGCCCGCCTTAAAAAAAAATGTTACCGCTAAACTTTATGGTGGAGACCACACCCGCAAAATGAAATTGTGAGCCAAGCAAAAATCCGGCAAGAAAAGAATGCAAGAACGTGGCGAAGTTCGGTTAGGAGCCGGAACGCTCCGGGCAATTTTGCGTAACAGCAGTTATAAATAGAGGGAGGCATTGTCTCACTTAATTTTTTCGCTGTGCGAGAAAAGAAAAAAGTGGTAGGAATTACATTCATATACAATTAAATCTTTTTTAACATTCCTTACTTAGTTAAAAAGAAAATTACTGATAACACGGATTTTTTGAAAGATACAAGCAGGATTTTCTTTGACGTTTAATTGTAAAGGCGGGGGAGGGGAGGGAAATGTTTTATGGCGAGGAGAAGAAATATAGTGGTGGTGAATTTTTTGGTAGCATTGACGATTATTTTGGTCCCAAAAAAAGTAATTCTGGCAACTAATAATTAGTCAAAATTTTCGTTCCCGAGTGCAAAGAGTAATCAATTGCTTTTCCTGCTCGCGTAACATTTCTCGGCAATAATCACTTACATGACGCAGAGGAAAATGATAAGCAATGAAATAGGTTTCGACTTCTTCCCTGTTTCATCCGGTTAGTAGACTTATTTTGTTAACCAGAAAATACTTAATATTAGTTTTGAAAGAGGCAAAAAGTCGGGCCATTTCCTCGATAAAACGGGTAACACGTTGGGGATTATCAGCAATTTCTCATTGGCGAAAATGATAATCCAGAATAAAAAGATAAGGATTTTGGCGAGTTTGGAGAATATTAAGCACTGTCTCGCGTTCGTGGTGGCAACAAATCTCATCGGGATCGACTTGGTAAGGATGACTTATTACTTCGCAGTCGATTTCATTTTCCAACAAAGCAAGGATGATATTAATCGTGGCTTCCCGACCGGCTCGGTCACCGTCTAAAAAAAGAATAACGCGTTTTTTTAGACGGTGCAACAAATGTATTTGTTTGGTTGAACAATTGGTTCCTAAGAGAGCCAAACAATTTTCCACTCCTAATCCAGTCAAACTAATGACATCAAAAAAACCCTCAACTAGATAACAATCTTCCGCTCGATCCGAGTGAACGGTCGAATAATTGTAGAGTAAAGCCGATTTTTGGTAAGTTTGGTAATTAGGCAAATAATTATATTTACTTTCGCTGGAACCAACTGTTATTTTTCGACTCGCAAAGGCTACAATTTTTCCGTTTTTGTTAGTTAAAGGCAAAATTAATTGCTGAGCAGCAAAGTAATCGTAAACTTGATTATTATCGTTAATTTGCACTAAGTTGGTCCGAGACAAGTTGGTTGAAAATTCTTGGACAGAAAAAAGTAAACTAGTTAATTGTTTATTACTAATGCTGCAACCCAAAGAAAAGCGGTCAATCAACTGGGGAGTTAATCGGCGTTGAGTTTGGAGATAATTAAGCGTTTCTCGGCCCTGAGAAGTTAATAAATTATGTTGATAAATATCTTTTACTAAGGAAAGCAAATCATTAAGTCGGTCTTCTTCGGGTTTTTCTTCTTGTCAATCTACCAAAGAAAAATAGCCGAGTTGACTGATTTCTCGGACGGCTTGTCGGAATTCCGTAGCCGTTATTACTTTTACTCCTTTCCGGTATTTAATTCAAAATTCAAAAATA